ATGATAATGATAAGGAAGGACACAAAGTTATGATTAAATACAAGGTATTATTAGCATATTTTTTTCATTATTTTTGTTATCATGATTATTTTGCTGAATTTAAAAGCGTTATCAATTGTCTGCTAATTAATCTTTGCTAATTTGAATTAACTATTTCAGGCTCATTTCAATCCTATAGCAATAGAATTCGGACATAAGTATGCTGTGACACGATCAGATGATGATACAGACTTTTTACTCTGGCCATTATTTTTCGTTCAGATTCATTCCAAAGAATGTCATAAAATTTTGGATACATATTTGGATTCATTAGTTGTTAAAACACCTTTAACTCTCCAAGAAATGGTAATTGCACATTTAAATAGTATTATTTTTCAAATTATTAATTGATTTAATTTTATTTTCTTTATGACTTTCAAATAATGTTTTCTGTGAAAAAAATTAAATTAATATTACTTTGGGAATACAACAAAATGAAGTTTTACTCATTACTTTGATCCTTGATTGAAAATTTGATCTCTGCCTCATTGCTGACTTGATCAGTGCATTCTCAATATAGGCATTTTTTATGCTTGAAAATTTGCATATTTGGTTTTGTGATTGATAAATTACTTTAAAGCAGCTCAGCGCAAACTTTATTTGTAATTAAGGCAATTGGAAAATTATGTGTGGCATATTGTGAACGTTTTGATGCAAAGTTTCGAGCAGTAATCACTGCTATCCGCGCAAATCTTGTAGAAGTATTTTACGTTGATTATGGAAATTATGAATGGGTCTTATATACTTCCTTGTGGTCAATTTCAGATCAAGTAAGTACTTTGTGCTTTCTGCATCACTGTAATTGTTACTTTTTGGACACTTTTGAATTCTGTTTTAGATAATTAAATTTGTTAATGTATTTTATGCATTTTGATATATTTTGACTGCAAGTTTTGCTTTTAAAGTTTATATAACATTTACACGTTTTTAACGTTTATATCATGCACTATTTTTTTTTACATTATAAAATATTTCCTCATTTGAAAGGCAACAAAGTATTAGTGAAGAATCCTTTCAGCAATTAATGTAATTTAATCACTGCCAAAAAGCTAGCATTTAAGTAATAATTAGCAAAGTTCAATGACATTCAGGATCAAACAATCATGAAACAACCAGGAATGGCTATTCCATGTATTTTGCAAGCTTATGATGAGGTGGCAGAACAAAAACAAGAAGAGGTCAGCAAAATGAAAGAAGCGGTCAGTTGCCGTCAGTGTGGCTTTTGGCTTCAATTCTACAAGCAACGTGTAGATGGCGTATACGTAGTAAATGTCGTGGACGAGGAAGACAGTAAAAATTTGCAGCAGTGAAACTTATTCAGAATAGTTGAAGGAGAGCAAGCATTTATTCCTTTTCCTTCTTATTTCTGTGATCAGTCCTTAGCATCTTATTTATTTTTTTTAGCATCTTATTTAGTGAATATAATACTGCAACTAAGTTAACGCTACCAACTTAATCCTAAACATTTTGGCGGGAAAAACTTTACTTTTTTCTGAATTAAATTGTGTTCGTTTAGCTGTATTACTAAAATAAATCTTAAGGAATAAAGTTAACTATAAGTAAATATTTTGTAAAGTAGCTAAAAATATATAATTAACTTTATGGATATTAAATTTGTCTACATTGAATGATAACAAAGTCGCATTATCATTATCGAAATTTTTGATAGTTAAATTCTGCATATTCTATAATTAATTTTGATGAAACCGGAATTCTGGAGCATGTTTTGAAATTTAAATTATGTCGAATTCATAAAAGTTGTGCAAGTAACCAATGTCATCAAAGATTTTTCAAGGATTTTTGTATGGTATCACTACTTTGAAAGATTTTTGTTATTGAATATGCAATTATTTTTTGCCACTTTACGATAATTATACTTGTATGATTAGGCAATAAATTTTGTAATAATAGTAAATATTCATAATCCTCTGACGCAAAGATGACGTAATTCAAATTATTATATACCTGAATATGATCTTAATAACTTGCTTGTCCAGCTTGTTTTCACTGTGTAATGCTTGTTTAAACTGTTTTCAATTTCTTGTCATTACATGTAAGTGTATGCATGACACATGCATGTATAATTTACTTAATTAGTTAATTGAAGTTTGCAAAATTCGAAAATCAAATTTTAGAATTTCAGGTTAGAAAGTCCAATTGGCTCTTGCGAACTGTAATTTTCAGTTTGACATTGCATAGAGAAATTATTATACATTAGAAATAAATAAATTACATTTCTACTCATTTCAAATTTGTATTTCTTGCACTTAAAAACTTTTTGCAATGACTGTTTGGGATAATTACTTATTTTAGCTAATTAGAAGTCGAAACTTTTTCTTTAAATTTAAGAAAGAGAACGAAAAATTATTATTTATATTTCAGTCTCTGTATATTATAATTATTATTATCTTGCATTTAAAGTGTGTACAATGAGTTCTGTCAATAAATATAATATTCATTTTTACAGAATGTTTCTGAATATCATATTATGATGGATGGTATTAATCAACTTTATATTTATCCCCCTTAATATTTTACTATTATTATTGTTCAGTATTTATTGCTTAATTGTTGCTAATTGTTACTACGTATTACTTCCTATTGTTACTAATTGTTACTTACTTCATATATACTTTAGAAAAGGATAAATAAAACTGTGTGGTATGTGTTATTTGTTAGCACTTTTCATTTTACACAAAATTGAAAACTAAATAATAAAAAATAAAAGCAGAAACTTATTATTAAAGAAGTAATTACTTAGTTCAGCTAATTAGAAAAGCAAAAGTGATTATTATGCAAACTGAAAATGAAAAGTTACAGTTCATAACTGCTATGAACTCAGTGCTTGTGAGCAGCGTATTTTGCTTTTTTTTTTTCAAAATTAGGCCTATAAAAATTGGATTGAAGACCTTTCACAGTTCAATTTTTAAGTTTTTTTTCAAAGTTTTTATTTTTGGGTAATAATGGAGAATAATCCAAAGAATATGTGATAGAACATATAATTTCAGCTCTTTCTTTACAACATTGGAAAGTATTGCCTTTATTAGTTAAACTGATTTTTCTTTCCATAACAACTTGAAATTTTTGCAAATTGCTGAAAAAAAAGCATAGGAGAAATAAAAATCAAAAACTGCACAATTCTGTGGCTTAAAACATTATATGTAATGAATGGTATACAAAAATACCTCATTTAAATACTGTAACAGTGAAACAAAATGTAATAACGATAAAAAGTTAGCTTTACACAAATAAAAATTACGAAAATCCTCTTAAATAATAATTGGCTTAAGCTTAAAAGTTTTTGACTTACAGACAAAGCCTCTAAGAATATGCGTATGAATATAAAAATACGCATAAATAAAGAATTTTTGCACTCTAAAAGAGATCAGATCAAATCTCGCATGAGTGCAAGTAGTGTACTGATCTGTACAGACAAATATAAAGAACTATCCAGATGATTTCTGGATCTATACAAATAAATTTATAAAGTTTTATAATATGAATAATAATTAGAATGCTTTGCAACTTCTACTTATTAGCCTCAGGTGTTGATATTGGTGGAGATGATGAGGAGGAGAATATCAGTGATAACGCTGAGGAACGTTGTAACGGTGATAAGGAAGTTATCGAAGATGTCTGAGGTTGCGCAGTACAAACTACAGCTGTCGGAGTTGGTATCATATTTGGTGGAGTGGATAAAATTGTTGGTGCCATAATTAGAACTCGAAGTTTATCTATTTCCGCCCGTAGATGTTCAATCTCAAATCGTAACTGCATGTTCTCTTGTTCTAGTGACGCTGCGCGATGTGCCATTTCATCTTCCTGATGGAATAATTTTGATATTCCACTCGAAAATTATTTCATGAAAGAATTTCAGATGAATATCAATAATGCAACACTTACTGATCACAAAGTTCGATAAAATTTCAAATTCAAAAAATATAAAAACTATTTCGTAGACATAGCATATGCTAACTGAAAATCTCAGATTTTTTATCGGAATTTATCGACCTAATATGACGTAATATTTTATACTTATTTGTTCAGTATTTTCATAATTAGTTATTTCAAGTAACATCTTGTACTATCTTCCTTCATAAGATAAATGCATAAATTTTAAAGTGTTCGGAGGAATTTATTTTTAAATATTGCTGAATAATTAATGCAGCTTTTTTTAAAGTACTGACGATGTGGTGCGAAGTTTACAAATTTTCAGCGAACCTTCTGCCGTCTAGAATCTCTACTCCTCTTTGCAGCATCATTGTTTTTCCTTCGTCGTTCCCAGTATGCCTCATCTTTTACTAATTCTTTCTTTTTTCGAATTGTTTCGTTCCGTACAATCACGTTACGTTGCGCAGATGTAACGTCATTTTCAGAAGTTGATGAACTGACCTGAATTCAAACTGCTATTAAAACTAATCAATTTTAAGTTCAATTTTAGTAAAGTTACAATTGATGTTCTTGAACTAATTTATCTTCTGATATCATTGTTAAATTTTAGCCAATTGCATAAAATATTAGTTAACAAAAAAACGTGTCATGAATATCAACGATGTGTAAAATGGATATTTTTTGTTGAGAATTGATAAAGTTGCCCCAAATGGCTTTCTGTCACCTTTTTGTTTGCAACTTTATCTTTCAGAATTCTACAATGACCTTAATTTGGATGAAATTCAGGACAAACAAGGTTGAGCAAAAAGAACACAAAGAATCAAAAAAAATATTTTAAATTACTCACAAAAAATAGTTGTGAGGCAAAATTATATATGTCATTAAAATATTATAGCGCGAAAAACTATTGCAGTTATTAGAATCTTTTATTTTTTGATATGAAGCAATTTAAATTCGAATTCATGAAATCAAGTACTGCTGTACAAGATGAAATGTTTATTTGACTTACTCTAAACTTATAATTTACTTTAAGTTTGAATAGGAAAATTCAAATTAAAAAAAGGAAATATCTTTTGAAAGCTATTACTACTATGTGATAAAAATAAAAACAAATATTAAATGCAATAAGTTGACGTTAATATTCAGATAGTTTTACTTTAAATGAAAAAAAAGTTTTGATAATGAACTCAAAAACTTTCACTTAACATTTGTCTATATAATTTTGCACAGTTTTTCTTTTCAAGCAAATATGGAAATTATTATAATTATTCAAATTAAGTCAGCAATATGTCACGATAAGTTATCGTTCCACTACCGATACCATTTTCAATATTTCAAAAAATTGTCATCCTGTTGATTTTCGGGCTTTAATTTGAAACCCATTTATAATGTCAATTCTCAAACAGTCTTAAGACCAACTGCAATGAAATTTAAAATTTCGAATTTTAAATGAGGCAGCAGCATCGTGCAAAAAACAGATCTTAGTATTTTTCGAATGTACAGATAATAGTCACAGATTTTGAGATTAACTGTCTTCGTATTAATAGTTAGCACAGTTGTGTTAGTCCGATTTTTAAAAGAAAGACTCGACTGATAGCTTCCAAAAAAGTAAATTAATTTAAATGTATTGCTTTGTGAAAAACACAGTAAGTATCCAAGTTGAAATACAAAAATTGTCCATTTGCTTTATAAAATAATGAGAATAATAGTCAAAACAAATAAAATACTCAATTTTAATTTTATAAAAGAGATGAGAGAGTTTTATCAAGAAAATAGGAATCAACAAAGATCAAATGCCTTAATTAATATTCTGTTCAAACTGGTACTGCATTATCATAACTTAATTACTGAGTGATGGAAATGAATAATACTGACTTACAATAAATCTATTGTATTACGCGAAGTGCTTTTAAAATACAATAAGCTTTGCATTAATTGATAAAATTTGCATAAACCTGTATAGATGACGATTGTTCAGCGATACTTTTACTTTTTCTAGCTTGACTCAAGTCGAGTGTAGAGGCTGGTATAGTGAGTGCGCTGATAGGATCGTTTGGTTGGTAAATATGCATTGGTCGAAAAGTAGCCAACGTGAGACCTGGAGACAACACTTTCTCTGGTGGTTCCTTTGAGTCATTTTGGAGCAAATTGAGGATATTCGAGGATACAAACGGATTTATCAATGGATTTATTGAGGAAGAGTTTGAAAAGTGCGGTATCATACCGTATGTTGACAAATCATAAGGTAGAAACCCCTGAAAATTATGGCAATATTTTGGGTAATTAAAATAGACATCAAAGATGGCAGCAAAGAATAAAGCAGTAAAATTACTGAAAATGTACAAAATTTAAGATAACATGGCTTCAGTAGCGAATTTCAACACGTAACTAATTAGTGAGTGGACGATTGCTGGAATTACACTTGTAATATTACGTATATTACGCATATGAAATAATTTTTAATAGGTTTTTGAAAGATTTCAGTAAGGATTAAAAAGAATAACAATGAATGAATCGCACTTTTCCATTGTTAGAGGTTACAAACTTTACATGCTTATTTTCAGAGTTCATTATTAATACCATAAGCGTGTGGCATACACATTTGATGGACAAACACACGCACAGATTCTATTTTCGCTTCACACTCACTGCAAAAAGTAACAGATCTTATCTGAGTTTTAATGAAAATTTAAACACTGGATCAAAACAAAAAATAATCTGAACTCTTACTTGTCTAAAAATTGTTTGTAAAGTTAAATTTTCTAACTGCGTGAGAAAGCTCCTTTCATCATGACCTCCTTACTCAATTCCTTCATAACGTAAAATTCTAATTTCAATAAGTCTGAATGAATTCGACTAGTAAAAAGTATTTTTGAAGCAGCATAATGACGGTGTTTGCAAATTTGTTTGAAAAAGTTATTTTGGTTTTAATTTCAAACTCAATAAAGTTGCATAAAGTACTTCAAAAGTATTGATAATTTGAACTTTGACCACCGCAATTAAACTCTTAAAGATTATTATTATTTTATATTGAATTACTTTTTTCATCATTCTAATACTAATGAAATCAAATATTTGATAGGTACAAAACCATAAAATTTTGGAGGACACCAAAAATTTTAAATATTAAAACCACTAACTAATCCAAAGTAAAAAAGTAAAGTAAGTAAGTAAAGTAAGCAAATCCAAAGTAAGTAAGTACGTAAATCTCACTTGATTTCCTCTTAATTGATCAAGTCTAGATTATATCAA